GACATCCGTGATAGCGGGGTATATATAAATTCGTCAGAGAGTAGGGTAAAGGTGTTTTCAGAGATTATTTTGTAGCAGAGATTGCCGTTTCGCAAGCTTATTCTTGATTACAAAACACGGTGGAATTCAACATATGATATGTTGACAACAATAATCAAATTTAGACGTGTTTTCCCTAGCTTTGAGGAGAGGGATTTCAGTTATCAATATTGTCCCAAGGAGGAGGATTGGGACATAATAGAGAAAGTTTGTGAAATTTTAAAGGTGTTCAGTGGTGCGACCAATCTCATATCGGGGAGTAATTATCCAACATCAAACTTGTTTCTAAAACAAGTTTTTTCAATCAAGATTATGTTAGATAGTAAGAGTGAACATGAAGATGAATTTATAAGGACAATGGTTTGGAAAATAAAGCAAAAGTTTGACAAATATTGGGGGGAATGTAATTTGCTGATGGTTGTGGGTACTATATTGGACCCTAGACTCAAGATGAGGGTGATTCAGTGGGCGTTCCCTAAGATGTATCATGAGGCTGAAGCGCGGGCAAATACTATTACTATTCAGGATGCCTTGTATGAGGTCTATGGGGAGTATGTCGATGCCAGTAGAGCCTTGACTACTGCCCGCGCTTCTACATCTAGAGGGGATGGACTTCAGGTAGTTGGTGAGAGGTCGGGGGCAGCGGCAGATAGGCTAGAGGTTTGATATGATTTTAGTGAGTTTTTGGGCGTGGTTGAGATGGTTGAGCCAACTAAATCAGAGTTAGATTGTTATTTGGGAGAGGGGTGTCATAAATGTGTGGGGGATCCTGCGACTTTTGATGCTTTGACATGGTGGAAGGCAAATGCAACGAAGTTCCCTATTCTGTCTACTATGGCCCATGACGTATTAGCCATCCCTATCACTATAGTTGCTTTTGAGTCTGCTTTCAGCGTCGGGAGTAGGGGTTATTGACACTTATCAATCGTCATTGGCTCCCAACATTGTGGAGATGCTTTTATGTGGATGCGATTGATGTCGGACTTTGAATGGAGTGAAGAAAAGATGCAAAGTAAGTTTTATTGAATATTCTTTTGATTAAATTCATTAATTACATTATATTTATACTAACTAAATTCAATTACTCCTCCTATGTCATTTTCAGGAAGATCAGCAATCTTTGTAGATCACGCTTCCTATCCCGTAAGTTCCTGACATTCAGTACAAGGTATGGCTGTGGTAGGAGGCACACGCAGGTAGAAGTTTGATTAATTTCGGTTCTGTTGCATGATTATTCATTTTAGTTACCTAAAAAGATACTTACTAAATTTAACATTTTTTGCAGTCGGGGGAAAATGGTGGTTTCAATATAGGACAACCCATCTACAGAAGACAGCCACCTATATTTTGATTGTTGGACAATTATTTTTTTCATTTTCTGAACTGTATTTTTTTCATTTTTTGGATTGTATTTCGATGAAAACTTTGAACACTTGTATTTTGTTGTATAACTATCATGGTTAATATGATGCAAGCTATGCAGTAGGTATTAATTGACACAAATTTGTGGATTTAAACAGGTTCTGGAGGAAAAAATAGACTGTAGGGCTAGAATTTGACTTGGTCAAACCAAGTTTGACCAAGCCTTAACGAGCTAGGCTCGAGTAAAGGTTCGCGAGCCCCTTACCAAGCCAAGCTCGCGAGCCAGCTCAAGCTCGAGCCTGTTTTTCTTGACTCGATAGGCTCGAGCTCGATCCTTTAGCACACAAGCCGAGCTCGTTAAGCTGAAAGCTAGGCTTGGTTTGGCTCGTTTACACCCGTACTTACCATGACCCCGCCACATTAGCTTTTCCTTACAAAAACCTCTAGATTTTGCCCCCTAGTTACATGCAAACCCAACAGCTTCCATTTCTTTCAATTTCACTCCAATAAACTTTTATGATAGGGTTTGGGACATGATCTGTTTATATGAGGAACAGAGACCTCCAAGAACAAGAGATAGAAAGATTAGTTGACAAAATTCTTTCTTGACACAATCTAGATTTAGGCTATTATATAGCCTTACACTTGACTCCATTGACTCCCGAAAAGACTGTAATTATAAAGGGATAATAAGTCACAAAAGGACTCTAATTATAAAGAGCTAATAAGATAATCCTAATAAGATAATAATGAAAGATAATTATAAAAGACTTAACATAATTATAAAAGATAATAATAAAAGACTTAACACACTTATCCTAATTCTAAAATAATCCTAACATTGCCTTCCCCTTCGCCTCAACCTTGTCCTCAGGTTGCAAGGTACGACACCATCAACAACAATTATCCTAGTTCATCCTCGTGCTCATCATCATCCTCCTCCTTCAGCAAGAGAAAGAACTTGGCTGTGCAACAATGCCCAGGGTGAAAGTGCTCATCGCAATTATAGCACAAACCTTTGTTGCATCGTTCTTGCATCTGTGTTGCTGTAAGTCGCTTAACAAGCAAGGAATCCGATTTGTTTGGAGTAGGCAAAAGGGCTGCTGCATTGAAGGAACATTAGGAGTTGATTTACTAGGATCGCAAGATACAGGGTCGACAGAATGCAAGTATAGGTGTAGATCTGCAGCTTGTCCTCCTGTAAGCGGGCAAGACTCATGGCATGGTTGAGGGTGTGAGGCCGAAAGGACTGCACCTCCTTTCAGATTTCTGGTTTGAGCCCTGATACAAAGCAACTTAAAAGGAACGTACCCGGAAGGCCAGAAACTTGATTAGAGAGTTCCTCAAATTCTGTTTGATAAGCGACTACATAACCTGTTTGAGTAAGTTTCGCCAATTGCCCTTGGTAATCCACAAATTCCGAAGGCCCAAAACGAACATCTAAATCCTGTAGGAAAGAATGCCAAGAATGGATCTGCCCATTGGAATGCATCCAGTGATACCAGGAGAGAGCTGGCCCATCCATGTGGAAGGAAGAGATCATCAATCATTGCTCAGTAGAGATATTATGGTAATCAAAGAATTGCTCGGCTTTAAACCTCCATCCACACGGATAGGCGCCATCAAAACGAGGGACTTTTAAACGGAAAGATTTGGGAAAAAAAACTCCCGAAAGTCGATCCACCTCGCCCAGCCAAATTTGAAGATGATTCATCGGAATGTTGGTTTTGTTGTTGGTTTTGCTGGCAGGTTTGATCGAACTTGTTGTTTAGAGCTGAAATCTGCAAAGTAACATCTTGAAAACCAACTGTCAAAACTTCCAATTTCTCTATTAAAGAAGTGAGAGTCTCTGCCTAGGTAGATTGTAGAGCCATAATTTTAGCAAGCTGCTCATCCAAAAGACGCAAGCGAGTGTCTTCAGCCATAACTAGGGAATGAGAGCACCAATGATAGGGCTTGGGACATGATATGTTTATATGAGGAACAGAGACCTCCAAGAACAAGAGATAGAAAGATTAGTTGACAAAATTCTTTATTGACTCCCACAATCTAGATTTAGGCTATTATATAGCCTTACACTTGACTCTATTGACTCTCAAAAGGACTCTAATTATAAAGGGATAATAAGTCCCAAAATGACTCTAATTATGAAGAGATAATAAGATAATCCTAATAAGATAATTATAAAAGACTTAACATAATTATAAAAGATAATAATAAAAGACTTAACACACTTATCCTAATTCTAAAATAATCCTAACATTTTAAAAGCTAACAAAAATCCCCTTCCATAACAGTAAAAATCACAAAGAATATATAATAGAGCAATGTTAGTTTTACAAAGACACATACAAAGGAGGCATACACAAACAATCCCCACCTTTGATTTTCATGATTTCTCTCTCTCTCTTTTTTTCCGTTTTTTCTTTGTTTTTTTTTCTTCTGGATGATATCACTTTGTAACCCTCTTTATATGGGTCTTTGTAAGGATAACATTTTTGTATGTAATTTATCCAACTAGGACAAAAAACGGGGTTTTACACTTATCATTGTCATGGAGACACTTACAATTGCTCCAGTGCTGGTTAATCAAATCGCAACTCTTAGGCTCGTTTTATAAAGATCCCGGATAAATAAAACCTTTAAAACTTAAACATTCATTATGGGTAGGTATTAACGCCCTCTTATGTCAAAATCAATCATAATTCTAACCTAAAACCAAAGTACAATATTGTAAATTAAGTTTATATTGACATGTATTCCGTTAGGTAATTGGATACCAGCAGTTGGAGTTCCTGAACCTTTTTGAAGAGTTTCAAATGTGAAATACAGTTGACATTATGTTTCCATAGAATATATAGCTGGAGCTAGTGAAGTCACATCTTCTGATAAAGGTATGGATCTGTGGTTCGTTTCACATTAATTTCAAGACTCGCTATAAAGAGCCTATCAGGGCTTGGACAAGTTCGGACGAGATGCTTGCTGATATTTGAAAGCTAGTCAGCGCTCCCCAGAGCCAATATCTAATAATTAATTAGAATTATATTATTGTTAATTAATTAGCAACTCCAGGTGCAGCGTGTAACAAAAGTATATATCCATATTAATAAAGTGGGTTTGGGTAACCCAAGCCTAAAAGCTAACTTAAGGGAAAAGAGAATTCAATCATATATATATATATATACACTATAAAAATCCACAGATTAAGTGATGTGAGATAAATTCAACTTCAATATCCTCCTTCACGCTTGACTTGCAGCTGGATCCAAACCCAACATCACCTTAAGCAAACGTGACTTCGATACCATAATAAAGTAAGTTTGCACAATAGGATATATAATTATGTGATTTCTATATACACTGGTTTTGACGTTGTAGATCACGGTGAACTATTTGAATTATCAAGAGGGAAGTTACCAATAATGCAAAATATGCCAGAAATTAATGGTTAAAATATCAACGTGACTAATATGTTAATATGTGTTTAAATTAAATTAAAAAGACAAAACTTTGATTACTTTATGGTTGGATGAAACAATGATTGTTGTGAATACAGAAACAAAATAAACATGTACTTGATTGGAAACATACTCCTCTAGTAAACTGTTCAGTACATAATTTTTTTTCAAATTTTGGAATTCGCTTGCCTCCAATTATTCTTTGTTAATTAATATCTTAATTTGCTTGCTTAAGCCCAACCAAGAACTTCAGTGAGAATGTAAAGCAGAAGCAGAGATATGGGGTACAGAAGATATACTATTATGCATGTCCAAAATGGAATCTTGGTGGTGAAGCTCCCAAATAACCCCATCGCAGTGCAAATTACTAAAATAACCAGAACTTCTGCCGACACATCCCAGGTCAAATCTCTTATGTAAACAAGCAGCAAGAAGATGGCTAAACCCATTATGTTATTCATGAATACTCCACCATAAAGCTGCACAAAAGCTTTCACTTATCAGACCACCAACAGATTAGAAAAGTAGCTATATTGATTCTTTTCCTTTATGTTTTTCCATTCATCAAATGATCAATTGAATATCTGAATGAAAGAGGGAAATAATTTGATTAACCTCAGAAAATGTTAAAGAGGCAGCCTTTTCTGTTTTCTCTCCAGCAGATTTAATGACTAAAAGCATCTGTTTGTAGCCCAAAGCCAGAGGTATCACTACATATGAGACCGCGAATGAAGGAATGTTTGCAGAAGTGGAGAATTCTTGCACCGTTTGCATGAGGGGTGTCCCAATCACTATTGTAATTGTGGTTCCTGCAATCACTAGAATAGCAGCTTTAATGTAATTCCACCAGGATTTGTTATCAGCCGTACTCTTGCTTTCCTTTTTCTGAGCTAGCAGACTCTTATTCTCTTCACTAGTATTCTGTAACTGCAGTTCAATTAGGATATATTGCAATTTGATTACACTAATTTAAATAAACATATCATGTATACCATATAAACGTGGGTTTACATATGTACCTGTGACTCGGTGTTAGAAGATTTCGCTTTCTTGTTGGAGTTATTACCCTTTGTAAGCCATTTTGAGAGACCATTAACAAACTCTTTCTCATTAATATGAGCATCTCCTGAGATATCAAACTCTTCCATCACCTTTGTTGCGAAATCCTCCTCATCCAAGCCCACTTCTTCAAACTGTATTCCCAGGATCAGTGCTCTCAGTTCATCATTCGATATATACGCGTCACCACTCTTGTCAATCTTGCGAAACAAGCTGCAAATTTATTAAGGAAAGACTAATTAATGAGATAACTGGACAGCCGACTCCTGAAGCTCACATGGTTTAAAGGTTGAATGACTGAAACATTGTTTCCGGCAGAGACTCGCTCAAGAGCTGGGTATAAATCACAAAACTTACTCTTTTATAAGGGTAACATTAGGTTGGCCATTTCTGGCAAGAAGGCTCCTTAGTAGTTTCTTCTGTACAAATTTATTCAACAGGTAATCTAGTCTTCTGTTTTGAATCCATGGCTGAAACACCTGCGCACCAATTTTTTTTTTTTTTTTTTTAGATTATAGAATTAGATATATATTCGTGAAAATGTGGAGTGAATCTATGAAATCATGCATTGTCTGTAAAAGATCGTGCGGATAAAAACGTTGTTAAGCATAATACTACAAATCCCCTTGTTTAAATTTGTTGTAGCTTCTAAGTCATACTTCTTTCTTTGAACTATAAATATGCATAATCCATATAATTGCTGCGGATCTATTCACTTTTCTTATTTTACCTGATAAGTCATGTAGCAGATGAGGAAAATTAACGTTATAACGAGAGAAATTAGGACGATAATTCGTGTCCCGGTTGATGAATTGATAACTTTTGCTAGCTGAAGAATAAGAACTGGGATCATTGATAGAAGCATGATCATTGAAGTGTACCTCGTCTCCTTATCAGTTTCTACACCATAACCTGCATAAATAAAAGCAAATTAGTTTATCAATTTATTGAATTACAAGATGTTCGTTTTTATTAATTAAGAGAAAATATGAGAGTAGAGGATATACCTGTTAAACTGAATGGTTTTTTGTTTTCTGAATTTGATGATGCTGAAGCCGTCGTAGTGTCTGAAGCAGCAGTTGAAGTTTCTGAAGTTGAGATATCTGAAAGATCATAGCTACCAAAAGCAACAACAGAACCCCAACTCACAGTGAGTTGCATAATAGCTGATCCTGCAAGCATGGCCATTCCCATTGCTGCCATTGATTGAATTGTGCTTGAATCTCCTGAGACTCCGATCACTGTATAAGAACATGAATCATATTAATTACATAATTTGAAATGGAACTATATAAAACAGATTAGAGTATAAAGCACATGGAATTGCTTGGATAAACATTACCTTAGTAGATTAATTGACATCTATGACTATATACTTGGTGAAGAATGAATAATTTCATTCCAAAGTTCATGACATGATTAAACATTAAGATATCAACCGAAATCCGACCGTCAAGCTCCACAGAAATACAGTTTTTTTATGCATAAATAACGACATTGCATCTCCCTTGGTGATACAAACCTATAGTTAAACTATTTAGAGAAGATGAAGACAAATTCTCTGTTTATTTTCCAGATCAACTCGAATTGTGCTTATATATACCTTCTAAGAATCTTATGTTCGTGTCTTCTTCTTTCTTTTTTCAATAATATTGCTCCCCAATATTTAGGGTTTGCTTAAAAAATATTTATATCTTTTATTGGGTAAAAGCTTAGATCATGATATATTCACTAAATAAACCCATAGCTATTTTTGATAATATTGGAAAATGTAGGATAAGTTTGCATTTTCTGCTAGAGTAAACCACTTTTTCCCACCCAAGGTTTGCCTTCATGACACTTTCCCACCTAAAATACCACTTTTCTACCCAAAGTTAATATTCTGTTACTACTCAAAATCGATTCTAATAGCGAAAATTATCTCCGTCACCACCATTTGAATTTTTGGTCTCCTCTCTACAAAATCCCTCTCACTTTAACACCTAATTTCAGGTTTAAATAGAACTATGAAAAGTGAGATAGTTAGTTATTTGGGAAGCGAGAATAAAGATAGTCAAGGCATGGGTACAGAAACCATAGATTAGAAAAGGTAGGATGGGACTCAACCAATACACTCTACAAGATGAGCTAGGAAATCCCCTCATTAAGAAGATCACTGAAGGAATGAAAGAAAGAAAATTGCTTAGTACCGTCAATTATTGGCTACCGTAAAGCTAGGGTTTCCTGTTCTTAACTAATTTTCACGGCGAATATTCAATTGGTCATTACCATTCGATCCACTAACCTCTACTCTACAAAACCTATTTTATCCTAGCTCCTGGTAACTCGTCAAATGTAGGCTAAAAAAGTGAAATATATTTTGGGTATCAACAGAATATTAACTTTGGGTGAAAAAGTAGTATTTTTGAAACTTTTTGGATGGAAAAGTGTCATTAAGTCAAACCTTGGGTGGGAAAAAGTCAGTTTACTGTTTCTGTTAACATTAAAAATCCAGCATGTAATTGGAAACCATTCTAAACTAATGCATTGTAAGGCTACCTTAAGTATTGTTAGAATTCTAGCGGGCACCGAGATGAGATCTAACTTAATATTGACAGACAAAATGCAAAAACAATATCTACCTACATTAAACACTATTACATTATTGATTATTTTATTTTTTTGAGATAAAATTCACTACAAAAACCTTATGATTCATAGAATATTACGCTACATCAATTAAAAAACATGTTGACCTAGAAAAATAATATAAAGTACCAGCGCAGATTGAAATGTTCATCACTTATTGGATATTTGACTGTTTGCTTGTGCTTTTAAAAAGTTGGTTTAGTTAAGTTGAGTCGATGGTGACATTTTCAATTCCTAATCTTGTCAGCTTATATATACAAGCTATCTTTCTTCCAAAATAATATTATTTATTCCTATTTTCAATTTCTAACATCTCTATACCATATCTTACTCTTAAAAAGTTCAAAATATTTTTTCTTAAAAAAAGATATTTTTTTTTAAATAATGTTTTCATTAATTAAAAATGACTCAAAATTTAGATCAACTCCTTAAGAACTTATGATAGAAAAAAATAAAATGAGCAAATTATCCTATGCCAAATCTTAATAATTGACAACCAAATCAATATCTTTTTGGAAACTTTGACAGAAGAAATTATGTGAGCTATACTGTGTTCACACTACAATGGTCAACGGTTACCCTTCCTAATTATAGCTACACTAAAATTAATTAATTTGCTTCATTAACCATTGACGAAGCTTAAAATAGCTACATATACTATATTATGAACATGGTGATCGATAAACAATATACCCATCCAACATTTACTTGAAAAAGCTGTGGAATGGTGAAAAATAAACAGAAGTTTGCATGAGATGTTTACTGCATGCAGTTGAATATTTCATGATAAATATAAAAGCATCAAAATTTTGGCTTCTGTGAGTGAGTTGAACCATATTTGAGAAACAAAGAAGCCGGCCAAGATAAGAGCTAGGTAGAAGGAGCTTACCGATAACCAATATGATTTGAGGAAACATGCCAAGTACGTTGAACAAACTTGCACCAAATATACCAGTTCCAAACATTTGAAAGAAGAGGTTTGATCCACTTTGAATGATTTGCTGAGACAAAGACAGCAACAATTCATATACTACCAACATGAAGAGCTGACCCCAGACAGTGGATGAGCAAGGTAAGAAGCTGTAAACTGGCTCACAAGTCACTGTTGTTCCAAGCTCGATAAGTTCCAGGACTTGAGACTCATGGGTCGTTCGATTCATGCCATCGGATAAAAGATTGAGATTTTGTTTAATCGAACGACTACTTCCGTAGTAAATCATGGGGAGGAGTAGAAACATAAACAATGCAGCTCTAGCCATTCTCCAGAAATGGTTGATTAGGATGAGAAAACTGCAACTCAGGCGTGTTTATAAAGACTTGGATGAAATAATAAAGAACTTGCAAGTTGAAGATGGAACAGATTTTTTCCATTACTCTTCCCCTTGTTTGCGAAACTCTTAAATCTAAACCAGTTAGTTAACTGTATTTCAGCACAATGCAGTTGAACTCCGACTGTAAGCAACTATATATTTAGTCAACCTATGAATTATCAACTAATCCTCTCAACAAGCAATTAGTTTGTTCTTAAATCTTGTATTTATCTGAAAGTGCAACCCATAGTTGGTCATTATTAATCGATTAAATTCATTGATCAACATTAAATATTGAAATGTAATCAATGGTGAAGCGAGCTAACAGTCCATATGGTTGTCTAGTAGATGGAGTATAAACATTCTTCAAAATCCAAAGGGACGTAGTGGAGTGGAGATAACTTGATTTTAATAAGTCATGGCAGACCCGTATTAGGTGAGGTAACATGGCTTCCGAGTTCGATTTACGCTATAGATAATAGATAATTCTTAGAATAGTCCACGTACGACTTTGATTTACGTGGATGGCAGATTAGGTTAGGTTGACTATTCTTATTTTTCCAAGAATGTAACTGTTCGATGCCAAACAAGATTTAAATTGTCCGTATATGGCTATGTATTATGATACGATGATGAATAATATTATATTTACAAAATCATTTCACAACTATATCTATACACAACATAATAGTATGATATTATCCTTTATAATTGACATACAAAATCATTCTTAATTAATAAATTAACTTTTCATATTTAGTTTTTCATTTCATTTTTTATGACACAATGCATCATTTCCTTTTAAAAGTCGTTTGGTTCAGGGAATATTGTATTACTGAAAGAATAAAAATCCTAGTGAGATAGATTACTTTGAAGATTAAACGGAAATGTTAGATTATATAGTTTAGTTGATTACTTTGAAGATTAAACGGAAATGTTAGATTATATATGTTTAGTTAGATTGGTGGGTATAAATAATTAATATGTTCGGTTGGGTGGAATAAAAGAATTTTGGGAGACCCTTTTACAGAATTGCCCTTTTTATAATAATATTATTATAATATTTTTATTTTTATTTTATCATTTAGATTATTAATTTTAACCTCATAACATTTGAGAATTTAGCTAAACCCCATAACCACAATAAAAGTTTAAAATTTAACAAAATACCCTAGCCACCCAAGACAACTGCCAGTTGTCGGCAGTCATCGGAATGATGCATGCTCCCTAGATCGATGGGTCTGGCCGAAAATGACCATGAATCTAAGTGGAAACAGCCAGATCCGATCGTCGTGCGCCTTTTCGATGATTGCCCACGGTGGTGGCCGACAACCGACAATCATCTTGGGTGGTTGAGGATATTTTATTAAATTTTAAACTTTTATTTTGGCTGAGGTATTTTAACCAAATTCTCAAATGTAAGGGGTTAAAAGACATTTTGCATAGTTGGGCTAATTGCTATTTGATAGACATACGAAGACATTTATGTCTGAAATGTTAATTAATTAAGGGTTAAATGAGAACAAAAATTGGATTACCTCAGTAATATTAAATTAACACATTTTTTTCGATAATCAAGGGTGCGTTTGTTTTGTTATTTGCAACCCTATTCGTTATCCTATTTTCAAAATATTGTTTGTTTTATTATTCAGCAAACAGTATTTTCAAAATCTGATTCTGACACATGTGACCGTTGCCTGCAGATTTTGCGGTCTTCTTTTCTTTCTCCACTTTTTTTTTTTCTGTCTGTTTGTTCTGTCTTGACTCTTTCACCACCGTCACAACATCTTCCTCTCAATTCCCAAATCCACCGTGAGAAACCATCTTCCTCTCAATTCCAACAACACAAACCCACCTCGCATTGTCTGACCTTCCACCTGCAAACAATCTTCCACCTGCAAATACAATCTTCCACTTGCAAATACAAAACAAACCCACCGCACATTGTCCAAACGACCTTCCACCTAAATCAGAAAACAACCCCACAACACCAACCAAACACATTATTCCACCATCATCACAATAGAAACGCACAGCCACCACCCATCACCATTTGCTTTTATCATCACAAAACAAAACCCACCGTCACAAACCATCTTCCACTGCCACCATCATCACAAAAGCAAACCATCATCACAATACCATCGTTAATCGTTCATTGTATGCCACCTTAGAACCACCACCATCGATCAAGATCTACCACGAACCACCACCGTTGTGGTCTTTTCTGCCACGAACCACCACCATCATGTTTTCTGCTAGGAACCACACCCATCGTCATCTTTTTTGCCACGAAGATTTCCCGTCGTCATCGATCTGCCACGAAGATCTCTTGTCGTTGTCTTTTCTACCACGAAGATCTCCCGTCATCATCGATCTGCCACGAAGACCTTGCGTCATCGTCGATCTTCTGTTAAAATCTCCCGTCGTTGTCGATCTGCCATGAAGCGAAGACCGCCGTCGCTGATCTGCGATGAACCACCACCATCGTCGCCTCAATGTGAACCGAATCCCACCATCTGATACTAACCACCCATCACCATGCAAATGTAATGGCGTTTTTGCTTTGACAATTTGCATCAATATATGTAAATATATAAAGCTAAAAAAAGTGAAAAAAAAAAAAAAAGTTATTTATTTTGTTGGTATATATTATTTTTAACATTTCAATCTTTACAGGGAAATTTGTAAATCGTGAAAGGGACAAACAATAAAAAGAACATATCGGTAATGGATGAATTTTGAGAGTAAAAAATTGTTGGATTAGTGGAAATATTTTTTTGGGATTTTTCTAACTGATATATTTGTTTTGCAGATTCGGCATCGTTATTTGATCGTAAGAACAAATTACGATCATATGTACAAATGTCAGTATAATTTGTCCCGATGTCGCAGGATTGATTACTACTTGTAGCAGAGGCGAAAGTTTCAAAGTTTTTCCAGACTTGGAGTTCGTCATACACCTTGTTGGTCAACATTGCATGTATTTTCCCCTACATTGTCAGCTGCAAGCAATGTCGGATCGAATGAGGTAACAGTTTATCTGTGTTTACTTTATTACGTTTAAATGTGCGTATGTGTATTTGTAATGTGTTTGGTGATTGGTATGGTGTCCTAATCTTGGTTGTCGTTCTCACCGTACTGTGATTAGATGAGTGATATTGTGAACTGGTCCGCCGAGATGACCCACAAATTTCTGATCCTGTTATCTGAGCGGGTGAAAACTTCGCATAGTACTTCAATGAAAACAGTAGATTACCAAGAAATGTTGGATGACTTATCATCATTGGTTGGGAGGAGACTGACTGAATGTGACACAATTAACCTCTTAAGTACTTTTGCCTGCAAAAAGTATACCAAGCATGGCGAAAATTACTGCAACACACGGGCTTCGAGTGGGATTATGAGTCGCAAAGTCTAACGTGTTCCGTAGAGGTTTGGCAAGAATATGTCAAGGTAAAATTTCAACTTTTTTAACTAATATTAATCAACGACCCCGTATTTGTATGCAATTTTTTTTTGGGACTGTCAAATATTAATATATTATTATTTTGCATTACCAGCAAAACCCACAGGTTCAACAATTCTACCACAAGGGACTTCCTCACAAGGAGCTTTATGAAATCATATTTGAGAAGCAAACTGCCATTAGGAGATATGCGTACACATCTACATCTCAACCGGTGGACACCTTCACTTTTTCCAATCAAGGCACGGTTGACATTGATGATAGTGACTTTGAACCTGATCCAGATCGGACGACAGGGGAAAAACGGGCAAACACATCTGGCCATAGAAGAGTGAAAAATAGGAGGAAGAGAAGCGGCTCGGGACAAGCACTTATGGATGTCATTGGTAGATTGACGGACGTGCTTATGGAGAGGCAGAGTATGGGATCGAGGGCTAGCAATTGTAGTGGAGATGAGGGGGACGAAGAGAACACCAGTGGTCTATCTAATCTGTTTTCTATGAGCAATTGTATTGACATCTTGACGGCCATGCAAGTACCCACAAAGTTTTACATGCCGGTTGTCAAGTACTTATATCAAAATCCAGGGTGGCGGGAGGTATTCGTGAAACTCCCGCCTGAAGAAAAGGCTAATTGGATTTATAACGACTTTCGCAATTTGTAGATGCCACTGTATGTCCTAAGTGTTTGCCAACACTTTTGTATACGCCCGTGGGCACTTGTCCTTTTATGGCTAAACCAAACTTCTGTTCAGCACCTTGATTTGAAAATGTCCCCAAATGTGTGCTACTATATGAACTTATTAATTGTGCTATTGTTTTATGTGAGATTACGTGTTTCATATGAGTTTTGGATTGTCATTAGAATTAAATATTGACTCTTATATTTTGCTAAGTAGTACAACATCAATGTTTTGGAAATGTGCAGGTTTAAATGGCGTCGTCTAGCCATACAAGAAGAAGACGACGTTCTAAAGATGAGGAAGAAGAATACTGACAGATATAACCATTGCACTCTATGGTGTTGCCGCATTAGAAACAACTAGGCTTCAACTACGACATACATCCATATTAACTGGTCATGAGTACATGTTGGAAGTACTCAATTGGTCATGCTGACAGGATCTTTGACAAGTGTCGCATGGACAAAGACTGTTTTACATACTTATGTTACATTTTGGCACAGCAAGGCAAATGCAACCAACCAGAAGGACGAGTTTGGAAGAACAAGTTATGATATTTCTAACAATCTGGTAAAACGAGACAATTAGAACGATGACAGGGGATTTTCAATATCGGTGAGAAGATCTCTAGATATGTTGGCGTAGTTTAAGAGGCGATATGTGAGTTGAAGATGAGTTTATCAGGCCACCTGACTTCATGATGTTCCATGGGAAATATCAACCAATCGAAAATATTACCTTTCTTTAAGGTACTTCTCATTATGTTTTCTATTAGTGGATAGTTAAGTTCATCTGTTTTTAATGTTGATAGTCGTTAATTGACTAAAATTCAATTTTGATGATAGGACCCATGTATATGCTTCGGTTCCACATGAATTTGGCATAGTACCAGAATCGCAAATGAACGTTGTCATAGAATGTAATGGCTGT